AAATTGACAGAAAATAAACAGATGTGTAGCGAAAAGGAAAAAAATATATTTATGTGTGTTATATTATATTATATTCAACCAGCTAACTACATTGTGTTCAAGGATTACCGCTCATTTAATGACTGAAACACAAGTTTTAAAGTTAATTTAATCTTCATTAAATTAAGTTCCTCCAACAAGTATTTCCAACTTATAACACATTAATTAAGAACACAAGTGTTTAGGCTGGCAAATTAAAAAAATTAACTTCCTCCATTGTTCAATAAAATCAGACCTCAAGATGAAGAAAATTTAATCAAACCACTTTTATTAAGTTGCCTCGACTTAATTTAACTTTTAAATCAGCTAAAACAGACATTTTTAGTTTAAGTTACACACAGTTCAACACAACCCATGTAAAATAATGTTTAAAGCTTAAACGATTTATCTGAATCAATAAATTAGATTTTTATCTAGCAGCGATGCATTTATTTAGGAGGTGGCAGGAGGTCGACTGATTCACTTTTATCGTGTCATAGGAACACAAGTTGTTTTAAACTGTACGTTCCTGTTAGAATTTGATGTATTTTTACAGTAATTTGTCCCTGATATTTTAGATTTATTTCTATTTTAGAAATCTTTCTTACAAGTTGCTATTTTTTATTTTTTTTTAAATTTATTTTTGCTTTACTAATTGATTTTATGAGTTTATTGTCTTAATGTTTGCACTTGATTTTTTTTTATCTGACAACACTTTAGTCAACTCCAGTTGTTTTTAAATGTGCTGTACAAATAAATTTGATCTGATTACTGTACAGAACATCACCAGACATCAAGAAATGTTAGATTTGGTTTAGTTGTTTTTCACATCACTGTGTGGTTTTCTACTTGATGAAACTCTTTGTTTGATCGACATCAGAGCGAACTCTTCTCTGGACACCAAACAGCTGTGCATTAATCAAAAAAAGGAACATTTCTTGTCTTGCACATCAGCTCTCAGAACACAGAAGCAGCTCAAAGAGTCACAGTTCTCTGAAAACAAAAGGCTCCAGGTCACGTTTTTCCTCTTCGTCCCACGGATGCCGTCAGCAGCAGCGATACTTTGGGCTATCTGTGCTGCGCTGAAGTGGCTCCGACTCACTTGGCTTCTATCTAAAGGACTCCGCTTTGTTAACAGGTCTTTTCAAGTGCTCCAACACAAAACGCCAGAGACTCCGCACTTGAAGAGTTGGCTTACATCCTGGAGGACGTGTTTTTGTTGGCTCTGCTCAGAAGGGAAGCGGAGTGAGTAGGTGGATCGAGGAACAGAAGTTAGGTGAGAACTTACACTCCCTCCCTCTGCACGGCCGGCTGAGCACAAAACCACCGTTAGCACAATCAATACAGAGTCCAGAATAAGAAGCTCTTTGCTGCTGCTGATAGAATCCATCTGCCTGCACAGACAGACCTACAGTATGCTTCACAGGGAGCACAAAGACTCAGCATTTGTGGAACAAGACACACAAAACAAAAACTCAAGGGTCAAAGCTTCAGCAGACGAGTTCGTGAGCAGCAGAGATGACCTGTTTAACTCCAACCAACGAGCTAATAATTAACTGCTCTGGACACAGTCCCGCCTGAGTTTGGATTCATAATTTCCCCCGGCTCCATCAGGAAACTGAATGTATTTTTGGCCAAATGGGGCAAATCTCAGTTGGGGGGAAACGATGCATTTTCTCTCTTGCAGCTTCACTTTGTGTTTCGGGGCTGAGACGAATGTATTTGCACATAAAAATAAAAAAATAAAAACGATTTCCCCAGTGCAGCATTAAAGTTGTTATCGTGATTAAGGGATGAAATGTTTTCTGCTGTGAGATTATGAGATTCAAAATAATAAAGCTGTTTAAAAAAAGCATAAAATGGAAAGTGAAAAATCAGCATTTGGCAACAAGGGAACGAACATTTCTTTGTTTGCAGGAATGTAAAGAGGAAGGCGTTCAGGTCTGCACTTGATCTTTGCCAGTGTCCTCCTGTAACACGCTGGCTGAGGCCGCTCGCCCCCCTGTGTTATTTATGAAATGAGGCCTTTGCTGACATGTGGGCAGACACACAAAGCGTCATTTAGCACCGGGTCATTTGTCACATCAAAGCATTCCTTGACGCATGGAGGGAGGCTCCCTGTAATCTGTCAGAGGAGAATGTAAACAGGCGACACAGGATCAGCAGGACCCCCGCTGTCAAATCGGCTCTGACCCTAAACCCCCCAATTGTTCTCAGTTAGCAGATCTGAATGAAAGCTGATGTGAAATACTGCTTTGTGTCACCGCGCTAAAAAGAGAAATGAAGGGTTTTCATCAGCCGTAACCTGATCTGGGGATGCGTGGATTCCCAAAAAACTGCACAAATAATGCTCAATATTCAAATAAACAACCCACAACATGATCAGAAACATTATTCTTTTAGCTTTGAAGCAATATGTTGATGAAAAAAATCTATACTTTTACAGTTTTGACCTAAATCCAATGCAGCCACAAAGCCGATTTTTCATTACAGATTTTTTTCTTTCTGTGGCTTCACTGGCAGAGCAGCTCCTGGGTGAAGCTTTGTAGCTAAATTGTTAAACAGAAACACATTTGAATTTGAATTAGCTTTTTTATTTATTGTGTCTGCAGTCAGGCATTTACAGTCCAGAAAGGAAAACCAGGGAAAAAAGAGGAATAAATCCGCCATCCCGCATGCAGCTTATAACCCTGAGCGACATATAAAAGGATAAGATATCAATTTCCTGTTATTATGCGCATATCTTTTTTGAGATTAATTTAATCTGCTTCATATTGTGTTTCCCTCTGCAGCGCCTGCCTCTTCCCTCCTGCCTCTCCAGCTCTGCCTTTACGAGCCTGTGGTTAACAAGAGGGTGTGAAGGATGTGCTGCGGCGTGCTCGTAGAGAGGAGGGGGGTATTGATTTCTGATGGGTGGCGGGTGTTTTATTTCCTCTCAGCATGTGAAAAAGACCCCCCGGCACGCAGGAGTACAAGGTTAACACCCACTTATTAATTTGGCAGGATCAGGAAATGGAAGCCTCGTCTTCATTAGTGTGAACCTGAGGGGAAGAGCGGTGATGCTACTGAGTGTCCTGAACTGACTGAGTTGTTCTCATCCGCCATCTTTGAAGTTTGGACTGAGAATAATTAAAGAAAAACTTCATTTATTTGTCAAATCATGCAACAGATATACAGCTGCTAGTGAACAGTAAACACTTAAATACACTCATGATAATAGGTTAATGTTTAGAACACATGCATTCATTCCTCCTAAATAAAAACAAGAAAGAAGCTTTTTGTCTGTTTTGAAAAACGTGTGGGATCCATAACATTGCTGGCTGTTAGATCCTGATACATCCTGTCTCCATGCCAGGGATAATTCAGGATTACAACTAGTAAATGAAGTTACTGCTGCTGGTTCTGTATGCAAATGTGCACAAATCTTTGTTTGGAGATGCTCGTATGAGTCCTGCAGCCATCTGATGCAGCAGGTATTAAATAAACTCAGATGAAATAGTCCTAAAGCGACAAACTTCAGCTCCCATTAACATACCGTGGGTTTAAAAAACAGATTTATTATTGGTGAGTATCATTAATCTGAGCTATTTGTGTCTGTTTTCATCACAGTAAAGTGTTATTAATATGGACATTTCATTTTATAGCCTAATAGATGTGAAATTATAGATCAAAGTAAGTGAGGAAGGTGTGAAACAAACTATGTCTTTGTGCAATCTCTGATTGTTTTCAGGATAAATATTGGTGCTGAAATGTGGAAGAAGCCTTTTTAAAATCACTTTATTTACATTATTTAAAGTCCTGTGGCTTGTGCATGTCTGTCTGTTAGTGTGAGTGGGTGCAGCTCAGACTTGGAGGGAAAAAAATCAAACAGAAGAATAGAGGAACACATAGAACAACCCTGTACGTAGCTGGAGTGTCTGCAAGAGACTTTGAATGTTTTTTTTTCCAAACACAACATCCCTGATAATAAAATACGTAAACACAAGCTGAGCAAGGAGTGCACAGACCTATATAGAGGTCATTATAGAAGCTCTAACAACTGGTTAACTGACTCTACTTATCAGGTGCTTATAATACAGTCTTGATAATCCTGTCCAGACAGCTTTACCACTAACAGCAGCGGTTAAAACTGATTAAGCCTCTTGGATGAAGGTGAAACATCCTCAAGACCCCAAAAAGAAGTGAAGTTGCCTTTGACACAGATGTATGTCCTAAATCAAAACTCACAAAAGATGACAGGAGAAGAAATCCTGCCTGTATATGTGTGTGTTGACTCAGCAGGGATGATATTAAATGAGAAAAGTTGATCTACAGGAGAAAAAAAATACATCAAAACAACACTGAACACCTGAGAATTTTATGCATTATATTCCAGTTTGTTTTGAGTTGTCACTTGGTGCCTGAATTTTGTGTTTTCCACCATAAATAAACACAGACAAGGTATAAATTGGTGCAGACTGCAGGAGCATGTCCCGGAGGACTGATGTGTCCTTCAATGTCTAAAGAAAACCATGCATCACAATCAAGGACTACACGCGCTTGATGGATGCCGGATTTGACCAGTGTGACAACAACAACCCAGAAAATGCCTCATGAATCAGTAAACAACCTGTAAATGGCACAGGAATCCCACCAATGGCCGCTGGCCGGGGGCGTTTCTTCAGCCTTCACTCATCCAGGCGGCGCACAAATGATGGAGATTGACGCGGCGTCAAGCTGGCCGACAAAACACGAAACCAGACCGGAAGTGTAAAGATTAGCCTTCAAAATTAAACCCCACCGAGCTTCGTTAGAGCAGAAGAAATTATATGTATATGTGTTTTAAATCTGTCATTTTGTAAAATATCAATCACTAGTAGCATGTTCGCTCAGCCAGTTCTTTGTAGTTTTTCCCCAAAAGGCTAGTTGGCATTGTTTTTATTGTAGCGGCTGTGAGCGGGAAGCAGTTTACACGTTAGCTAACTTTACGGACTTCAGAGGAGCGGATCGGTGAAACTATCAGTAACTATCGGACTACTTTGCTGAGGGAATCCCTGCTAGGTGGTCGGGATAACTTCTGGTCGACTTTAGCTGCGGGACAAGAGCGGACGAATGCGGTCTCTGCCCCGGTCCTGAGCCTCGGGAGCCGCCGCTTACCTGTGGAGCAAATGTCTGAACTGGCGAGCAACGGTCTCCGCTCGCACCGTGTTGTGGCGGCTAGCCGTCGACGCTAGCACGGGCGCTAGCTAGCTGTATGGCTGGCGCTGTAACGAAGGCGATAATTAGCTAGCAAGCGGGGCTACGTGCGCTGCTAGTTCGCCACGGACACTTCGCTGTCTGTCCCCCGATAAAGCCACGTTACGGGGAATGTGTCGGGCGTCACGTTGAGGTGAGTGTCACACAGGTACAGTTAACCCAGTTTCACGCGTTCACTCGTTAGCCTAGGAGCTGAATCATTGCGGTTAGCGGAGCGCAGCGGCTCGGACTATTCCCTGGATTCAAACACATTCCACCAAATATTCTTATGTTTACTTCGCGCTGGTCGGAGTTTCTCTCGGTGTCCGTGGGTGGTGCGGGGTTTTACTGCATCCGTAGCTAACGGGGGTTGTTTTGGCTGCGGTGTCACTGCTTTTTGTGTCAGCGTTACGGGGAATAAATTCATATTTCTGCCACCAAACATGCCGAGTTAGCTCGCCTCGGCAGTAAACAGCCCACCGGCACGCCGTGCTGGCAGCAGCAGCCGGACTCCTCATCACATTCTTGCACATTAGCGGTGTTTGGATGCAGATGAACTGGTTTGTTCTGCAGCAACGATAACGGAGCAGCAGCAGCAGCAGCCACACAGCATCCCTGTTTAGTGGAGTTACTTAGAAATCAGCTCCTCAGCCTGCCTCTACTGACTCTGTCTTTATTCCCTTCTCTCTGCAGGAGGAGCAGCAGCAGATGGAAATATATGGATTACTCATCATGGCTTTCTGAAATCATGGAGTGCTTCTCTTCTTAGCATCATGCGCGCCGTCACATCAGACTCCTGCTGCAGAGATTTCACGTCCTTACGCGTGGATTTATCAGGCGGCTTTTAAACGGATGTTGTCTTTTACCAGCGTGCTTCCTGCTAAAACATTAACTATGCGTGTGTGCGGCTCGGATGTGCCCGCGTAAACACTAGCGTGAATTCGTGCGAGGAAAGCCCAAAGAAGGAAGTCCAGGACGGGATAGGCGCACACAAACTACCCGCTCCCAAAGAAACATGGCCTCGGTGTGGAAGAGACTGCAACGTGTGGGGAAGCATGCGTCCAAATTCCAGTTCGTGGCTTCCTATCAGGAGCTGATGGTGGAGTGCACGAAGAAATGGTGAGTTTTGGTTTTATTTTTTATTTTTTTGGTGGTTGGGGGGGGTAATAACAGGCGACCACAGTGCTGTCATTGAAGCCCCGTGAAAACTGAGTGTCTCTGTGTGTGCTGGAATGCTGAGCTCGTTCCTGGTGGCCATAATTCACACACACACAGTCTCCTTGGTGTGCAGGCATGTCTGTGTGCTGGGAGGGGCCCGGCTGCCTTGTTAAATTGCTATGTGTGTTTTTTTTTTTTCTTCCCTTTCCTTATGCACCAATGTTGAATTTGTTTGGTTTCTCAGTACAGAGCCTGACAGAGGCTTCCCTCGGTCCAGATGTGCCGGGTTAAAGCTCCCTCTTTTGATCTGCTCTTGAGCAAACCTCTGAACACTTTGGGAGTCTGATCTTGACCTCCGACCTCTGACCTCGCAGGAACCTGGCGAACTATTATGGAACTATTATTCTTTTAAAATCGTGGTCTTTTCGTACGTTGCTTGAACTGATAACCTGCAGAACGGGCAGATTTGATTAGATTCAACTTTAATGTCCCTAAACAAATAACCCTAAGGCCACGAAATGCAGTTTGGCATCCAAGCAAAAGTGCAAAAACGGCAGTAAAGTGCATTATTTCCTGGATGGTACATACAGGATGGTCAGCACGCTATGAACACACTAATATATGAGTGTACAGATGTGGATAAAATACAAAATAGATCATCTAAATCTACAGGAAGCGATAAGTAGTGGTATAAGCACTATGAACAGTATAAATAGCATGGATAGTACAAACTGTGGGAACAGTATAGACATCATAAACAGTGAATATAGGATGAAAACAGGAGACGCATGCAGTTTTGTTTACACAGTATGAAGTCCAGGGTGGTTTTCCTTCATGTTTATGCTCATTTCTATTAAGATACTGAAACTATGAGTTGCTGAGGCTGCAAAAATCTGCTCACTGGTTCAGTTTTCTCAATGTCCTGCTTGTCACAAGTCCAAATGAACTGACTGTATTGACACTGCAGTATGCAAACACCCAGACCTTTAACTGACACGTAATAAAAAGCCAGCATAATCCCGCGTTTGCTCTTCTGTGACAGCAAATATCCACCCTGACATGATACCGTACATGTTGTGGCTTAAACAGTTGCTCGAGTGTAGGAGTACAACCCAAATATACGTCTAAAGTGATGAATAAATGAATGAAATTGGGTGCAGTGAGGTGGACGAGGTCTCGGGTGTGTTCCTCAGAGGTGGAGATGAAGTGGAGAGATAGCTGGACGCATGCTACGCTCCCGCCTGCAGCTATTTGTCCTGTCAGGAGGGAAACGCCGGGGCTTGTAAAAGAAAAGATGTAGCCCGCAGACACGGATTCTCAAGCGGCTCGCCGTAGGCGTGACTAACGCAGCCCCACAGAGCCTCGACCTGGGACAGATGTTAACGTGTTGGAGAATGGAATGAGAAAAATGTACATCTCTTCCCAGAGCAAAGGGTGGGTGGGCTCAGCGCATAGTCAGGAGTACACTTTGTTTTGCAACCTAAGCTGGGCTCTTTCATGCTATTAAATATCAGAAATGTGTGTACATAGCTGTTTGTGGTTGGACCAGTCAGGTCTTATCTGTAGTCGTTGAGGATTACAGGCCTGAAATCTTAAGTTTATCAACCCTCGGAGATGAAGGGCGCTCGTGTTTTGCTGTCTGTCGGCTACATCACTTTCATGTTTTACATTTAGCAAAGAACTGCTCGATGTTTGATGCTTCCATCTTAAATGTCAGCTTTACTGCTTGAACTGGTGTTTTAAATAACTCCCACCGACGTGAGAAGTGTCAGTCTTTACATCCAGCGCGGTGCTGAGCGTGTTGCCTCAGGGGCTCGGCTCGTCTTCGAGTCAATGTTTGTGTGTGTGAGAAAGCTTTGGCTCACGGTTTCGGCCTTCCTTGGATTTCATCAGCACGGTATGTTATTGTTGCAGTGGAAATTTTCCATCTGCGCACGCTGGAAACAGTCCCCAGAGCTCCAACCCTGAAGCCTTCACAAGTGATTTTTTAAAAACTTTTTTTTTGTGAAAGCCCACAGCCCTTTAATTTCTGGAATCAATAACAGGAAGAAAGACTGAATGCGTGTTTTGTGTTCGTGCACGTGCGTGCGCCCGTACGTACTGTAAAGGTGTGGGAGCTTTGAATGTGCATTGTGTGAAATGTAAAGCGTTTTTGCACTCTTGGCTGGGACTCAAAAGGCTCGGCACAATAATCTCCAACGTCTAGATAATTTCAGAGAACACTTTAAACAAAGGTAAGAAGTTCAAGGGTGCGTGGTTCTCCGTGTGTGATTGCCGCGCCTCAGGTGATCAGCCGCTCGACGCCTCCTGTCATGTGGATGTGGGTTGAGCTTCAATGAGCATCTTCATTCAGGCAGAATGCATGTTTTGATGCTCAAGTCTTTTTTTTATCTTCCAAGGTAACACTTCTTAAATCTAAGGTAGAAGAGTCAGAAAGTTGGAGTATCTCTGGATGAAGTTGATGGAAGTTTACGGGCCGCCATCAGTCAATCTGTTCAGTCTGGTGTTGTTATAGTCAGTTGGTTGTATTAAAAGACAGTCAGTGAGAAATAGGTTTTAGCTAATTACCCTTCTTTTTATTGGAAAAGTTTGCTCCACGTTATTGTTTCCATTGTGCTGATGGAAGGACGGTGCTGATGCAGGGAGTTTTCTCTCATAATTTCTGTTTTTAGAGCCACTTCTGGTCTTTATCTGCGCTCTCGTTGCTCCATTCAGCCGATCTGCAGAGCTCAGGGAGTTAACAGTCCACTCACACATCCATTTCAGACTCCACAATCAATTCTGACCGGCCATTAAAACATTAATGAGTTCAGTGTTTTTGTTTGCCAGTGAAACGAGGCACCATTCAGCGTTGCAGCGCGGCCTTTTAGAACTTCATATATTACATTTTGTCATGAAAAATTAAGCGTGTTTTTTTGGTTGACTTTCATTTGAAGCGTGTAATTAGGTTTATTTATGCCAAGGTTGGAACGTAACCTCCTCAGCACAGTTTTTAATCTCATCGTTCACCTCTTTGCAAACTGGGGAATTGACCTCTATTTGTATTCTTAGTCTGCGTTATAATTAAGTGATTTCTTATACACATTCGTTGTTTGTGCAGGCTGTATATAATAACACATCTGGTTACTTTCTACTGTTTATGCTGCCTTTTAGACGCTTCTGTTTGCCGAACACATTTCTCTGAAAGCTGCTAATCTCTAATTCTGTTAATCTCATGATAACATCACCGTCTGACTTTCTCACTGTTGGAATAGCTTAGTGGCTTTATCACAAGATCACTGATCAGCTTATTTGACCTGGCTGGCTGTGCACCTGACTGGTTGACTGGCTCTATAATTATCTTCAGCGGGGCTATCATTATCTAATGAAACATTTACATTTGACAAACGCAGAGAGGCCGAGGAGAGGAAAGTTCAGCCTCGGATGACGTGAAATGATAGAAAGGACAAGTTATTACAGACGAGTTGTGAAGAATAATAGTTGTGCTGCACTTTTATGACGCGGTGGAAATCGAGTGTTTGGTTTCTGCCGGTTAGCTGAAGCCAGTTCGCTGCTGATATCAAACCAACGTTCTGCCGTTTAAGCTCCACATATTCATTAATCCGGATGCCTGCTATTAGTAGAAGCACCAGATGCTGATAGTTGATACGTGGCTGTACGGGATAGAGTTTGTTTTTGTAGAATATACATAATGATGATGCAACTCGAGCAGAGGTTTTATTATTTGTGCTCAATCGTTTTGCACTTGCTGGCTGAAGCGTATGAATACAGCTATTGAAAAAGTCTTGGTCAACACTTTAACGTAGCCTGTAGTGTGCACTTGTAGTGTGCAAACAACAGCTTGTTGAATGTGCAAGAAACTGACCTTTCAAGGATAAATTCTGCGACCTGCTTTATGCGACCTTGGTAATTATCTGATGCAACGGAAACATCGGTGTTGTGAATCAATATTGAGTAGCTTTATCCAACCGTGCCTAAAAGCCTTTAAGGATAAAGATTTGTGACCTTCTCTCTTGGTACCAGATGATGCTCCCGACTTTTTAAAAGTCAAATATTCTTCTTGTCATCATGTTAAGTGTGTTTCATCGTTGACACAGGTGCAGATCAAACTGCTGTCCACACACACATCATTTTATCATTTTTCATTAAGGCTTAGGCAAATATTGTCTTTACATACAGGTGTGATGCAGCAGTACAAGGTCCACCTGCTTTAATAGTTGAATATCTCCCTCCTCCTGCTGCATATGAAGGCTTTCCTGCAGAGTGGACGGTTTCTTGTCCCCGTCATCTTTACATCGTGCCCAAGGACTACATCTGTTGTTTATCACGTCCAACCCATTACTTGATTTTTCCTGTGCATTGTGTTTGCACGGTGCTGTTCTCAATGCCAGAGCCACACATTTTCTTGTTTGTTTATCCTTACTAGTTTTTCCTATAACAGTGTCAATGCTCGCTGTCAAACATCCAGATCTGAATTGTAAGTCAGAGGTTCTCTCTGCCCCTTGAATAAACCACATGAAGGACTCGAAGCATGACTCTTTTGTCAGGCAGTAAGGTTAAGTTGAGGGCTGGTGTCAAACCCCTCAGATTGTTAGCTCATACCTCGTGTTCAAGTGATTGTCAGCAGAAAGGGATTGTATCCTGTGTGAACCCTGTTCTTCTTCTGCAGCTTTCTCCTGATGTACACGACTGAGTTATGTAACTGTTGTGCAAGTGATTTTCTGTATTATGCTTTAGATTGGGCTGCAAGGTGGCTCGGTGGATAGCACCGTCACCGGTTCGCGTCCCGGTGAGGACACCCGGGATCTTTCTGTGTGGAGTCTCCATGTTCTCCCCGTGCAGCGTGGGTTCTCTCTGGGTTCTCCGGCTTCCTCCCACACAGTCCAGAAACATGTTGAGGTTAATTGGTGATTCTAAATTGTCCGTAGGTGTGAATGTGAGTGTGCTTGGTTGTCTGTCTC